AGCAAACAGCACATGCAGAATTAAGAGAATATGAGATTACTTCAAAAGTTTGAGGAAAGTAGACTCAAAACGTGTTCATTTAGGTACAAAAATTTTTGAAGTCAATGCAGGTTTTACACATTATGTGTTTTGTTTCTTTTTTTTTTTAAGATTTATTTATTTTTTATTGGAAAGGCAGACATAGAGAGGAGAGAAAGAGAGGAAGATCTTCCATCCGATGGTTCACTCCCCAAGTGGCTGCAATGGTAGGTGCTGTGCTGATCCAAAGCCAGGAGCCTCCTCCGGGTCTCCTATGTGGGTTCAGGGTCCCAAGGCTTTGGGCTGTCCTCAACTGCTTTCCCAGGCCCAAGCAGGGAGCTGGATGGGAAGCGGGGCTGCCGGGATTAGAACCGGCACACATATGGGATCCCGGGCACGTTCAAGGCTAGGACTTTAACCACTTGCGCTATCACACCAGGCTGTCTTTATTTTTTTTTTTAAAGATGTATTTATTTTTATTTGAATGGCAGATAGGATTTACAGAAAGAAGAAGAGACAGAGAGAAAGATCCTTTGTCTGCTAGTTCACTCTCCAAGTTGCTGCAATAGCTGGAGTTCAGCTGATCTGAAGCCAGGAGCTTCTGGGTCCCCCATGTGGATGCAGGGGCCTAAGGCTTTTCTCTTCTGATTTCCCAGGCCACAAGCAGGGAGCTGGAAGGCAAGTGGAGAAGCTGAAACATGAACTGGTGCCTATATGGGATCCTGGTACTTGCAAGGTGAGGATTTAGCCCTGACTCACCACACCGGAATCTTTAATGTGCATTTTCCATGAACTTTTCACAGTCCCCTTGAGCATCAAGTCTGTCAGGGTAGAAAAGCAGAGTTTGAAATCATTCTTATATTAGTGTTCCATTCAAAAAGAATCAGCTCTTTCAAAAAGGAAAATAAATTTCCACATTAAACAGATCAGAGTATCAGAGGACTCAATAAACTAAAATTTGCTCTATTGTCATCACCGTATTAAAAACATTAGGTACCCTGCCCTTTTATTTGATTAACTGATCAACTGAATGAGCTTTTCTGTTAACTTTTAAAGACTTATGTATCTGAAAATCAGAGTTATAGACAGACAGGGAGAGACAGAAATCTGCCATCCAATATTTTACTGCTTGGATGGCCCAAGCTGCCAAGTGCCGGGCCAGGCAGAAGCCAGAAGCTGGGAGCATCATCGGAGTCTCCCCATGTGGGTGGCAGAGGTCCAGATACTTTATCTTGTGCTGCTTTTCTCAGGCATAGTAGCAGGGAGCTGGATCATAAGTGGGGCAGCCAATATACAAATTGGAGCAGATAAGGGATGCTGACCTCACAAGCGGCGGATTTACCTAGTATTCCACAAAGCTATTCCCTCTGTGAATTTTGGAAGTTATACTTTTCCTCTTTCCAAGAAATAATAAGACATTTCAATTCCTTTTTCTAGGTTTTGTGAGATTCCAATCGATAACACTGTAGTTAGATGTTCATTCTTTGGTGATTCCTCAAGACATTTTTCAAATTTTTATTGAAAAATACCCTTCCTTTCTTTTTATTAGATTTCTTTGAAAAGACTTCAAAAATTGTTATGGAAAAGTATTGGAAGGGGCCCAGCACGGTAGCCTAGTGGCTAAAGTCCTTGCCTTGAAAGCGCCGGGATCCCATATGGATGCTGGTTCTAATTCCGGCAACTCTGCTTCCCATCCAGCTCCCTGCTTGTGGCCTGGGAAAGCAGTTGAGGACAGCCCAAAGCCTTGGGACCCTGTACCCACATAGGAGACCCGTGGAGGCTCCTGACTTCTGATCAGCGCAGCTCTGGCCGTTGTGGCTGCTTAGGGAGTGAACCAGTAGACAAAAGATCTTCCTCTCTGTCTCTCCTCCTTTCTATATATATATCTGACTTTATAATAAAAAGAAAAAAAGTATTGGATGGTTTCCTTATCCAGCAAATAAAACCCAAATCCTTTAGCATGCCTCTCTCTCTCTCGACTTATTTATTTTTATTGGAAAGGCAGATATATAGAGATGAAAGCCAAAGATCATCTCTCCGCTGGTTCACTCCCTAAGTGGCCCCAAAGCCGATGCAAACCCAGGAGCCAAGAACTTCTTCTGGGTCTCTCACATGGGTTCAGGAACCCAAGGCTTTGAACCAACCATCCTCCATCGCTTTCTCATGCCACAAGCATGGAGCTGGATGGGAAGTGGAGCAGCTAGACATACAAACCAGTGCCCATATCATACACGGAAGGAAGATTAGCCAATCCAGCTATTGCACTGGGCACTCAGCATGCCTTTTCACATACTGCTACAGGGCCCTTTGCAGCCTTATCACTTCTAGAGATGAGTAATTGGCACTTCAGTGTACTAAGCAGCAGATATTATCTACAGTGCCATAAACCTTTCAGTATATCAAACACCAGGATCTCTCAATGACTTCCACAATCCTGCTGCAGAAGATGGGCAGGTGCAAGAGTGAGGTGGTGCTCCAGGGATGGCCCTGGGCACCTCAGCTACTGCTGTAATAAAAATATACTTAAAACAAGCTCTCAAGGAAAATAAATAAATCTTCAAGAAATAAATCTTTAAAAAACAAAGTCAGAGTCAGAGAGAAAGGGAGATTCTTCCACAGGGGATATTAGTGTTGCAGGTGGCTTAACATGCTATGTCAACACATCAAAAGCTTCTTTCAACTTTTGGAAAGGCAGAGAGCCAGAGAAAAAGATTCTTCCAACCACTGGTTCATTTCCAATTTCACCCAAGGGCCTGGGCTGCTCCAGACTAAAGCCAGGAGCCTGGAATGCTATCTGGGTCTCCCATAAGAGTGGCACAGCCTCCAATATGCAAATCATCTGCTGGTTTCCTGGCTGCATCAGTAGGGTTGATTTGGAAGTGGAGTAGTTGGGACTCGAACCCATGGTCATATGGGATACTAGTGTCACAGGTGGCAGCTTAACTTGCAGTGTCCCTTATGATTTCTGTCTTCATGTGTGTCATCCTTCTGACCTGAAACTTTCTGACTAACGACAGAGTATGTTTTATTCACTTTTGTTTCTTCAGCAGCTAGAATCCAGCAGCCACTAAATAATGCTTCATTCAGTAAATGAATGAAAGAAATCATTCTCTGAGAGTTAGCCCGTGAAAGTTTTCGTTTTAGTTAAGGAATATGCATTGATAAAATTAATTCTGAGATATCTCCTGGTCAAGGTTTTAGTTTGTCAAATCATATCATATCTTTATATGATTAAAGGATGGGCCCCCAACTACTTTCCAATAGAACATTCAATAAATAACAGAGTAGAAATTACAATTTGTGTGCGTGCGTGTGCATGTTTGGCAGGCTGCTTCTGTTAAAACCACACCCTGTGATAGGAACACTCTTTGAACAGGGGCACTACCAAGGTGTGGCAATAACGGAAGGGAAGAACAGTTTACTTCATTATTTTTCTCCTACAAAACAGTTGTATGGAGGTCTTCCGTCAAGCAATTTCTACCATCGGGCCAACTGACTCTTCTGAAACACACTCAGAGCCCCATCAACTTATATTCAGTTTTATTTCTTGTGCCTGAGTTCCTGCTTTGTCTATCACAAGAGATGACAAGTGTCTATAGAGTCCCGTGTACAACAGTATGAAGGCGCATAATAAACTAGACACACTTTGAAAATCGACCCTCAGAATGGCAAAGGCTCTTAAGACTATATGAAGGAGGAATCAACACAGCAGCTTTATGGCTACATCCTCCCCTTGAAAACCCTAGGATCCCATATGGGTGCGGGGTGAAGTCCTGACGGTCCCACTTCCCATCCTGCTCCCTGTATATTGCCTGGGAAAACAGTAGAGAATGGCCAAAGCCTTGAGACCCTCCCTGTACCCACGTGGGAGACCTGGAAGAAGCTCGGGTCGGCTCTGCCCATTGTGGCCATTTGGGGAGTTAACCAGCAGATAGAAGATCTTTTTGTCTCTTCTCTTTGTAAATCTGACTTTCCAATAAAAATAAGTAAAGGTTTTTAAAAGATTATACGAAGGAACACAGTACGACATGCAGGCAAGAATAGTGTGTTATTAATGTTTAACCTAATAATCACCGGTGGGGGTGTTCTCCTTAGTATAACGGATAAGACATTCTGGGTGGAGCCAGGGAACTTGCATTTGTAACAGGAGACCAGGTGTTAGCGGCACCTTTAGTCTACGGATTCCCTTTGGGAAGCAAAGCTGTTGTGAAAAAAAAAAAGTGCAGAAGGAAGTGAGAAGCTCTGCTCCTGAACATAGTTTGCGGGATGTTAAAAAGCAGTAGGGCTGGGATGCAGCCAAGCCGGGCACTTCTTCCCCAGACCCAAACCGCCCATCCACAACCACCTCCTCCGCCTCTCCTCGGAGTCCGGATTAAAGTGTTCACCTCCTTTAAACCCTAAGAACACGAGAAGCCGGCCCGGCTGACGGGAGACGCAAACGCAAATAGCAAGGAATCGCCCCAGCACTTACTAGTCTAAGAGCCTGGGGACGAGCCGCAGTCCGGGCCCTCGGCCGGTCTCAAGGCCTGAGAAAGATTCAAAATTAAAGCCTTGTCACGGAGGGACCAATGGCAGACCCGGTCTCCCCAGGATTGGCGCTGCCGGTCGCCGAGGGCCGGGACCAGGCTTGCGATTGGCGGGGGACACGGGACGCTCCGACCAGTCAGAGCTGAGGCGCTTCTGGTACGAACATCCAGAAGGCGGGCGAGGGGAAGGCCGAGCGGAAAGGAAGGTGTGACGGAGGAAGCTCCGGTGTAACTGCTCGGCTCTCCCTCCGAGGGCAGCAGCCCTGGGCTCACCTCAGCCGAGCCACGACGGTAAAACGGAAAAATCAAGATCGGAGGGGCGGGCAGCCAATGGCAAAAAAAAAAAAAAGTGCACGGCGGCCAATCCTCCCGCGGCGTTTTGTGTCGTTTTGCCCAACAGGAAAATGCGTTTCATGCCGAGGGGGCGTTACTCCGTCGCCAATGGGCGGGCGCCGGGAAGACGGAGGAGCCAATGAGTGCGAGATGTTGAGTGACAGCTGTCCAATCGAGACCCTCAGTGCTAGGAGGGTTTGCTGCTGAAGCGCCGCCGCCGTCTGAGGAATGTCAACTATTCAACATGGAGGCGGAGGTCGATAAGCTGGAACTGATGGTGAGTGCACGGGAGGGAGTTCTCCGGGGAAATCCGTTTTTTTTTCTTTTCCTCCACCCGGGACCTCGAAGGTGGGACGCGAGGTGGAGTAGCCGGAAACTCTGGGTAGCGGAAGCGGGACCAGGCTCGAGTTCCCTCCTCCTGCTGCACCGAAGGGAGCCGCCACCGCCTGGTCGCCTGGTCTCCCAACCGCCGTGGGGTGGGGGGAAGCAGAGGGGGGCTACATCCGGGGAACGCGGGAGGAAATGGCGGGAGATGCTGGAAGGGCTTGTTCCTTGTCCTTACTTTTCTGTCCTTCAAGGGAGCTGCCCCGTGTGCGGGCAGCGTGATCCGTGTTTCCACGAAAAAGAAGTGGTTGTCCTGGTCCCCAAAGGCCCCCAAGGAGGAGAGGGAAGGGGTCGTTTACACTCGCAGAAAGGGCGCTGGGTGGTGAGTGGGGTGGGGAGCAGTCAGGGGGGGCAGGGAGACAGCGGTTTTTATTTTAGGGCGGGATGAGAAAGTCTGAGAAGGGGTGCTGGACTGCGTGGAGGGCACAACTTGGTCACACCCAAGGAAGACCCTAGAGCCGTTGGTTGCGGGTTGGGGGGGAGAAAGTCACCCCCTCCCGGGTTACCACGCTCACTGACTGTGGATGTGGAGTACCAAGGAGGTCTGCAGGAGGGCGTCACCCCAGGGTCTCTTTTGGGACCCAGCTTTTTTCCCCTTAGCATCCTCTTTCTTGTCTCTCTGGGCCCTGGGCTACCCGCTTGATCGCCCGCGCTTTTTTCATCATCACTCCCTTGTTCAGCCCTGTTCCTCCTTATGTTAGCAGTTGTTTCAGATCGGGCTGGCTTTAAGAACATGGGATTTGGAAAGAGCACCCATCATTGATCGCCTGGCTTTGCTGTTTGTTGAAGAAAAAAAAAAAATCACAAACTTAAACAAAAGTAGATTTCTTTCTTCTCCCTCCAAGCCCCTGATTAGGGCTTAAAGATTCCTAATGCTTGTGATACTGCCTCCAAGCCACTTTTTAAGTTTCTGTAACTTTGCCATGGAAATAACTTGTGATGCCTTGATCCGTCGTCTTTTCCTGTGAGGTTTTAATAAGCGGAAGTGCCTCTTATACAAAGTTGATTAGAACGCTTTCAAATTGCTCTTAACATTCTGTTGATATTTTCTTTGTGGAGGGGTTTGGGAATGAAGGCAGGTGCTGGGGAGAAATATGCAGCAGAGAATTGGCGTTATCTTGCCAAATTAATGAATATAAACTTAAAAGTTTGGTGTCTTAATTGCTATTTTTTTAAAACAAGCCAAAAAGTGGTATTAAATATTAAAATCTGATTCTATCAGTGGCCGTAAATTTGCTGCTCCCATTCTGAGTTACTCCTTCCAGACAGAGATGTTTCTGCTTGAATGTTAGAAACTTAGAGATGCTAATGCAGCTGTTAACAGATTCCTGCCCCCTCAAATTGGCTACTTAGTTTTAAACTTTCTGGTCAATATTCTTACAAGACTTGCTTAAACTGAACAAATTCTGTTTATAGGCAAACACAAGTAAACATTTCAGAAAAAAACAGACTTCAGACACTTATGAAACCAGGCTTTCAAGTTTTTAAGTTGTTTTAATCATTTAAAAATTCTTGGACCTGGCACGATGGCCTAGTAGCTAAAGCCCTCACCTTGAGCGCGCCAGGATCCCACATGGGCGCCGGTTCTAATCCCAGCAGCTCCACTTCCCATCCAGCTTCCTGCTTGTGGCCTGGGAAAGCAGTCGAGGACGGCCCAAAGCTTTGGGACCCTGCACCCATGTGAGAGACCTGGAGGAGGTTCCTGGCTCCTGACTTCAGATCGGCGCATCACCGGCCATTGCAGTCACTTGGGGAGTGAATCATTGGATGGAAGATATTCCCCCCGTCCCTCTTCCTCTCTGTATATCTGAGTTTTCAATGAAAAATAAATCTTTAAAAAAAATAACAACAAAAAAAGAAGAAATCATTTAAAAATTCTTTATGAAGAGGGAAAAAAGATTTTATTCTTTTATTCTTTTATATTACTTGAAAGTTAGTAGTAGCCTTCTTTTCTTTCAAGTTGTTAGTTTTTTTTGTAGTCATTTAACATGTTTCTCAGATCTTTATTATTGTTTTTTTTTTAAAGATTTATTTTTATTGCAAAGTCAGAGAGGAGGAGAGACAGAGGAAGATCTTCTATCTGATGATTCACTCCCTAAGTGGTCGCAACGGCCAGTGTTGCACTGATCCGAAGCCAGGAACCAGGAACTTCTTCCAGGTCTCCCACACAGGTACAGGATTCCAGGCTTATGGGCCATCCTGGACTGCTTTCCCAGGCCACAAGCAGGGAGCTGGATGGGAAGTGGAGCTGCTGGGATTAGAACCAGTGCCCATATGGGATCCTGGTGCATTCAAGGCGAGGACTTTAGCCGCTAGGCCACAGTGCCGGGCCCCAAGATTTATTTATTTTTACTGGAAAGGCAGATATACACAGAGGAGGAGAGACAGAGAGGAAGATCCTCCGTCCAATGGTTCATTCCCCAAGTGAGCACAACGGCTGGAACTGAGCCAGTCCAAAGCCAAGAGTCGGGGCTCTTTCGTGTCTCCCACGCGGGTGCAGGATCCCAAGGCTTTGCAGACTGCTTTGGAAGGCTTTGGGCCTTGGGACTGCTTCCCAAGCCACAAGTAGGGAGCTGGATGGGAAGTGGAGCTGCCAGGATTAGAACTGGTGCTCATATGGAATCTTGGCACGTGCAAGGCGAGGACTTTAACCACTATGCTATTGCATCGGGCCTGAACTTCTAAGATTTATTTATTTTGTTAATGGAAAGTCAGATTTACAGAGAGGGGAGAGAGAGAGATTTTCCATATGCATTCTCTATTTACCTGTTAAATATTGAATACTGGTTTGGTGGCAAATCCTTATTTGAATAAGGTCCTGAATTAAAAAGTTATATTGAGGACCCAGCGTGATGGCCTAGTGGCTAAATCCTTTTCTTGCTTTTATGGGAAATCCCATATAGGTGCCAATTCGAATCCTGACTGCTCCACTTCACATCCAACTCCCTGCTTGTGGCCTGGAAAAGCAGTGGAGGATAGTCCAAGGACTTGGGACCCTGCACAAGCATGGGAGACCAGTAGGTGGCTCCTGGCTTTGGATCACAGCAGTTCCAGCCATTTTGCGGCTACTTGGGGAGTAATCAAGTAAATGCAACGTTTACTTTTTTTTTTTTTTTTTAAGACATTTTAGGTGTTACCTGAAAATTTAAAATTTCTTTCCAAAGTACTCAGTTAAGTTGGGCTGATGTTTTCCTGTTTACCATATCCTGAAACAGAGAGCGAGAGGAAGAGACAGAGAGCGAGCTTTCATCTAGTGGTTCCCTTCCCAAATGACTGCAGCAGGAGCCACGAGCTTCTTGTTCTTCCATGTGTGCTGGTGTCAAGCACCTGGGCCACCCTCCACTGCTTTCCCTGGTGTAATAGCAGGGAGGCATTTGGAAATGGAGTAGCTTGGACTTGAATTGGGGCTGATGTAGCATGCCAGCTTTGTAGCGTCAGCTTCAGGTGCTGTCCCACAGCACAGGCCCCTATGAAACTTCTAGATTTTTGGTATTGTGTTTATAATTCTGGAGTGATAAGTTAGGTATATAGAGGTTAAGAAACTGAGAGTTTTACTTTCCATTTGTTATCTTTGATGCTTTTATTTAAGCGACTTATATGGCATTTAATCAATCACTTTGGAAAAGGAGTTCATCAAGAATACATCACAGCAGAGAACAGGAATATCTTTTTAAAAAACTTTGTCTTAGAAGTAATTAGAGCTTCTTCCGTTAATATTCATCCTAAGGTATTGTTAATACAACCATGTCTACGAGTCTGTTTCTGTTTGTATATTGATTATACTCATCAGAAAAATCTCTGTTATTCAAGTCATATCCTGTTTCCCCCCCTAAATATTTTGTCCTAAATGTTTTTAGGTTTTGAGTGTCTTCTACCCAAAATAGAAGCCTCTGATTTTTTTTTTTTCTCTGAAGCTTCAACTGATAAAAGAAGACTTTCCCCTGCTTCCTGCTGCTAACAAATGCTCTGACTTTATTGCACTACTGTACTTGACAGCTAGCAGTGCAATAGTATTGTCAAAGCATCTGAGAGCAGCATGCACACCTGCACTGCGATGCTTGCTTTTCTTCTTCTTTCAGTATTTGTGAATAATTCATCAGAAGTCTTTGTTGCTGAAAATCACCCTATACTTTTCTCACACAGTGTCTTTTAAGAAAGTCATACTTTTTAAGAAAAACTTTTAAGCTATCTAAAAATACCATGTTACAATATCAAACATTGAGAAAATGCTTTTTATATTTCAAGTTGTTATGGCTTGTTTAGTAATGCATTTTTCTGTAACAGAATTGGATGTGTTTTGATCAATCTTTGGTTTTCTCATGAATTTATAAGTGATGAAAATAATCTCTTTATTTGCTGTGATAACTTGCCCCAAGTCTTTTTTTGAAGATATTTCTGTATTTTTACAGGAAAGTCAGATCTACAGGGAGGAAGATTCACTCCCCAAGTGACCACAATAGCCAGTCTGAAGCCAGGAGCCACAAATCTCCTGCAGGTCTCCCACACGGGTGCAGAGTCCCAAGGCTTTGGGCCGTCCTTGACTGCTTTCCCAGGCCAAAAGCAGGGAGCTGGATGAGCAGCAGGGCAGTGGGACACGAACTGGCGCCCATGTGGGATGCTGGCGTGTGCAAGGCCAGGACTTTCGCCTCTAGGGTACCATGCCAGACCCTTTTCCAAGTCTTAATTGGTGTTAATATTGTAAATTGTGTAGAAAACACTTGAATCTGAAACTTACAAATACTTGATATAAAGTACATTTTTTGTTATTGGCACAGATAATAAAGTGTGAGTCTGTCACTTGGTTTTTTCTTCAATGAATTTTACGGAGATACTCTAACATTAAGTATATAATTGGATGTGTTTTGTTAGATGTGTATAGTCATGTATGTAGCA